TGGATCCACACCCTCTTGAAAAAATTGAGGTATTCATACACATTCAGTGGAGGTTGCATTTATCTTGTTATTTCGTTGCTGAGCAACAGTCTGAGCTGCACAACCCAATGAGAATAACCATTAAGAACCAACGTGGGGGGTATGCTAAAGAAAGGCTCAAAGAATGACAGGCGTGGAGGGTTCTCTGCCTCCCTTGTACTCTCAGGGGTGGGGGATTGGTTGGGCCCTTTGAGCAACACAGAAGGCTTGGCCTCTACTGGCATGGGCTGATCGTAGCCAGTCACTCTGCAGACAGCCTGCGTGCTGCATCTATCACCATGGCAACTGCCTCCCTAGCACTGGGGCTAAAATGAGGCTCTGTGGGTGACCAACAGTGACTGGATTCTCCACTGACACAACGAACAAACTGATGAGTCACTGAAAGGAAGGGCCAACTCTCCAGCACCGTCATTCCTGCTGAAATGAGACAGTCTGGAGGCTGGGGAAGAGCACTCCCGAGAGGGTCAGGTCAGGGTGGGCAAGACTCCAGCTATAAGACCTCAGAATTAGTCACTAAAATTAGATAAAAATAAACAAAGGTCACCCAAAAGAGAGCAAGCAAAGACTGTTCTGTAGAAAAGGAGTTCACCATTCCCATTTGTGTTCGGCAGAGACTAAAGGCAAGCAGAAAAGTGAAAAACCTTTGTAAAGAAAAAAAGGAAAGCTGGACTGGGTAGGGATGGGACTTGGCAAGAGGCAGACCGTGTGAATGAGGTACAGGAGCTAACTAGAGTCAGGGCATTCCGTGTGGCAGGATTGGGAGCGCATTTGCCTTTCTCTGGCTGGTCCTGGAGCAGGAGCAGCAGCAGCCACATATGGAGTCAGAGCTATAGATTAAATCCTGACCTGGCTGTGTCAGGCTCCCTGCTGCAGAGAACGGAACATGGCTTTCTGAACTGGGCTGCGGCAGATTGTGGGACAGAGTTCTATTGTTACAAATGGTCTGGCCAGCATCTGCTTCTTACATAAGCAGGTTCTCAGGGAATACCCAGTGTTAGAGAGCTCCAGAGATGGGTGCTCACAATCCAGTTAACAAAGAAGTGGGGCACGTGCAAGGATGGAGAGAAAGCTTGAGGGCTTTCCTACTTGGAGACTCAGGAAAGCGATGGAAGGGGTAAGCTAGGGAGGAGGGCTCTTCTGATGTTAAAGCCAGGTCGCTAATCCTCTGACAAAACAGGACCAACATGAAATAAATGTGGCCTGTTGGGCAGGACTTACAGGGTCTGGGTGCTCAAGGCTCTGTCTCAAGCTCCTTCCTTTTCTGCCCCGACATGACTCTGTAAGAGTATGAAAAGTTTTGGATATTGTTGTTATGATTCAGTGAGAGATTGGACCTTGGCGGGTAGGTCCAAACCACGGTGGGTGATGGACAAAAGTGCAGACATAGCTTCCTGGGAGAAGGGAAGGGAGAGAGAAGAGAGAAAGGGAGTGCAGAGCAAACCCCTGGGAAGAGAGAGACAGAGATGCGGAGAGAGGAAGAGGTAGGAGTACGTGGAGTTTTGCCTTTTAAAGGAACAAGGCGAGATCACACAGCATGCCAGGGTACTGCCTGCCATGTGCAGGGTTGACACACTGCCATGTTCCCAAGGGGTGGGGCCAAGTGTGCCTGGATGCTAAAAATTGTGGTTTGAATGAGATGTCTCAGGCATTTGGATACTTGGTCCCCAGTTGGTGGCTATCTGGGGATGATTAACAAGTATGGCCTTGCTAGAGAAAGTATGTCACTGAAGGCAGGCTTTGAGATTTCAAAGAACTGCTGTCATTTCAAGTAAGCTCTCTCTGCTTCCTGTTTGTAGTTTGGGGTGTGGGCTCGACTGTTGCTAGAGGGTGGTGGCTGCCAGCTTGCTGCCACACTCCTCACCACAACAGCAATGTGCTTCATGGAACCCAGTGAAACACTTCCTTCTGGCACCTGGCCAAAGTGATTTATCACAGCGACCCTGAGACAGGTAACACTTGGGAGACTTTTGAGACTCTTAACTGCAAGTTAAAGAATTTGAAACAGCACCTACTGTGAAGATTATGAACGAAGGAATTCATCGGAGGTTTGGACTCAGGGCATGGTGACCACAGCAGATACCTAACACTGTGGGCAGGGAGGCAATGCATATTCAGGCTGGGTGAGACCATGTGCCTCTCCAGGGATGATTTCTACTATCACATCCAGAAGAATTCATGTTTACTCTTGTCAGGAGCTTAGGGACCTCACAACCCAAGCTCTTTTTTTTTTTTTTTTTTAAGACAGGGCTCATTATTAGTCCTGAATGGTCTAGAACTCATTGTATAGACCAGGCTGGCTTCAAACTCAGAGATCTGCTTGCCTGTATCCCAAGGTGTGTGCCACCAGGCATGGGCCTAAACTTGTTTTACCAAACTCATTGCCTGAAATTATTTGATCTCCAATGGCCGAGTCTGAGCTTCGGTCCATGCCAAGACTGACTCACGAACTTTGTTTTCAGGCATATTTCTAGCCTTCCCTCTTTCTACACCTGCATTTTCTGTTGCTGGGAAATCTGGCCACTTCGCTCTTCACGTCTTTTGTTGTGCACTACGACAGATTGTCTAGCCACACCAGGTTTCTCTCTTTCACCTGCACACTCTTCTTGCCCTCCTTGCTTTTGGGTCTCACTTCAAGGAAGAGGAATGGAAAAGTAGACAGGAATGAAGGAAGGTGAGGAGAGGAGGGGAAGGGAAGTGGGAAGGGAAGAGTTTAAGGTAGCCCCATTATCACCCTCAGTCATCTGTTAACTGTCTTAACATCACAGCTGTGGTAAAGCTCTTGCTCGACCTCTGCTTCTTCAGGAGAGCTCTGTGCCACTGTTGCAAGGTCACAGGTTGGAGAAACACTCAAGTTCACGGCAAAAAATAGAGCTGAGGACGTCAGGACAGTGAGAAGTTGCTGGTGATAAACCAACCCCTAGCTAGAGTCAGGCAGAGCTGTGCCTTAATGCTGCTTCCTCTTTCCCTGTGTTAGCAACCTGCGGTGGATCTGATGGCTCATCTGGGAAACGAGTGTATTTACTTTGCGGAATCGCTATTGATATTCATTGGCCGTAATAGGGACTTTGGTTAATTACTGTTATTATTCGTTTGCTATTGTCATAGTTCTTGCTCAAAAAATTACAGTGTATCTTCCCACATGTCCTCTCTGAGTCATCTTCTTGGTGAGAGCCCCACAGCTCACTCTGTTTAATGGTAAGGCTGAGGCTTTAAAGCTGAGGGCTCTCAATGGCCTTGTATCCAGCCATATGGAAGAGGCTGGCTGGACAAGATGGAGCCAGTGTGCACAGAAAGGCCAAGCTGGAGATGAGGAAGAAAGGCTGAGCCTAGCAGCCCTGGGGCCCAGCAACCTTCCTATCTTTGAAGCTCACATTGAATGTGCTTTCCTCCTTTTAGCCTAAACATAGTTAAGCTTCAATCATGTCTGGCTAGGTCTGATACACAATTTAACGGCACACAGTAGGAGCTAAACAAGTAGTCTAATTATTTCTTTTTTTAAAAAATTTATTATGTATAGTGTTCTGCCTGCGTGTATACCTGCAAGCCAGTAGAGGGCACCAGATCTCATTACGGACGGTTGTGAGACACCATATGGTTGCTGGGAACTGAACTCAGGACCTTTGGAAGCTGAGCCATCTCTCCAGTCCTAACTACTTCTATTTTATCCACAGAAAAGGTACTTAACTGTGCATTGTATTGCTATGTGGAAGAGAAACCTGGTGAAAAGTTCTTTCCCTTGAGTTCCCAAGAGAAAACAGGAAATCGAAAGAAAGTCCTCCACTCTACGACCTAACACCATCCATGGTCAAGAGGTTTACAAATCTGCCCTGAATACTATTAATAGTGCTTCCTTCAGTAAAACTTTGTCTCCAGAATCCTTCTTCCCATGCTGATAGGCTCGAGCCGGTTTCGTGTCCCTGGTCTCAGTGGGCTCAAAGTATGCTGCCATAGGCCTTACAAGGACTGAATAAGTGGGAAGGGTACGGTTGGGAAAGAGCTGCCTTCGAATATAATTTTGCCTTTTTTTGAGTTTTTAGTCAATGTCACCCCAGTTCTCAAGGTCAGCCTCTGCAAACAGTGTATCTCCATTATTGTGGCAGTAAGTTTGCCACAATACAGTAACCCAGAAGACAAATCAATGACTTCATTCGAGCGTTGCTGCCTTTTTGAAGGGCTCATTTTCATTATTTTAAGCCTTACTCAGGTGAGGATCGAAAGAAGGGTCTTCCCAATTCCTCTCACACAGAAAAGGTCTGTGTCTTGAATACTTAGGTTCTGTCGTCTGACTATTTAAGCGTTGAGATTGGAGAGCCTTCTTTGCTTCTGGTCTGTACTAGCTTATTTACTTAGACAAAACGCTAAGGATAACGTGAGGAACGCTGGCCAACTGATGCGAGCAGAGCCCAGTTTTCCATCATCCTTTCATTAGCAACCTAGCTCTGGCCAAGTAAGCGTTCCTAATAGGATCGCCACCTAGACCAATTCCCTTCGCGGCCAATTCCGTTTCGGCATTCGGCTGTGAAGCGTCCTTTCCCATCAGCTGCATAAGCCTCCCTTAGGAGAGATCTTAATATCTGGGTGCTCATCGTTTTCAGGGATGCTTTCGTACGCCTTTTAAACGGAGCGCCGGAGCCACGCAGCTGAGGAACTAAAATGCTTGTTCCAGGGCCCATGCAGCCCGTCCTGGGAGTCACGGTCGAGTACCCCCACGTCGGGGGCCTTTGTCCCGGACGCCCGGTTACGGCGCTCACCCCCGGGGCTCCCGCGCTCCTTTGTCCCGGGACACACGCCGCACGTCCACGGGACGCTGCCCTCGGCTTCCATGCCCCAGTGCCGCGCAGCTCTCGCCAATAGGACCGCTCACCTCCTCCTCACCCGCCGCCACCGCCGCCACCCGCCGCGAGCAGGCCGAGTGCGCGCGCCGGAAGTGACGCCGGGAGCCCCGGTGCCCCGCCTTTTCCGCCGCGCGCCCCGCCCAGGCCCGTCTCCCGGCCGCGCGCCTCTCCCCCTCCGCGGCGCTGGCTCTCTGTCAGTCGCTGTCCCTCTTCCCCGTCGCCCGCCGTCCGGCTTCGTCTCGCGTCTGAGCGCACGCACCTGCCGGGCCCGCGTCCTCTTCCTCCTCCCCTGTCCGCCCCCTCCCGCCTTCCCCTCCTCGGGCCCGAAGGCTCTGCCGGGTCGCGGGCGCCTCCGCGGCTGCGTCACCGCCGCCCCCCAGACAAGATGGACACCGCCGAGGAAGGTGAGGCGGCGGCGCCCGCGCCCTTGCAGCGGCGCCCGCGCTCCAGTCGGGGCCGGGGCGCTCGCGGCGGCCGGCGTCCCCCGGGGGGCGGTTTGTTCGGCGGCTCGGCGGGCGCGCGGCTCGAGCCGGTCGTCCCGCGGGCTCGGGTCGGAAGGTGACCCTCTGCGCGCCCCCCGCCGGTTCTCTCGGCAGACGACCCGGGAGTGCCTGGACTTGGGTGTCCGAGACGCGGGGGTGTCCGGGACGTGGGGTGCCTGAGACACGGAGGTGCCGGGAAGTGGGGTGCCCGAGACGTTGGGGTGCCGGGATCTGACGGTGCCGGGCACCGGGGCCTCAGTCTCCGCCAACCCCGCCGTCCGCAGAGGAGGGGGCGGCGGTGCGGAGGCCGGGGGCGTTTTCCCCTCCCCTCCCCCACTGTTTTTTTTTCCCCCCTTCTTCTGTGTTCTGGTGTTTGCCGGTTGTCCTGTAGGCCCTACCTCTATGCCACAGAACTTCTTTGTTGACTTTGAAAGTTCGCGGAAAAGACACGGTCAGGTGATGACGGCCGAGGGGACTGAACTGGCCTGACCCCCCTGTTGTAACTAACACCTTGCCCTCGGCTCACCTCACCCCAAAGTGCATCGCCCTGACCCGGGAGAGGCGAGGGCCCCGAGAGACCATTGGAGGGACGGCGGCTAATGTTTACGTTTCTCTTTTACCGCTTGGCACCAGCGAGCCAGGGTCGGTTGGTTTGTGAGCGTGTGTCGTGGATGTGGTTGCTGGGAATGAGCGCAGAACACGAGAGGGACGTGAGTGTAGAAAGTAGATGCCGCCCTGACGGTGGCGGGGTGTTTTCAAAGCGCTTTCACGTTTATATAGTCGCTGATTGATCAGCGGGTCTGTAGAGGAAATTATTGATCGTGTACTTACTTACCAGTGCGGATACTTACACTTCGGGTATGTTTTTGTTAGAACGAGTGTCTTTTTCCTGCCTAATGGTTTATTTGGGCAACTTTCAATGCGGTTGAATCGAGCACTGTATTGGAGACATTAGAGTAACAAAAAGTTTCATGTTAATGTGATAAGTTGGTAAAACTTTTTTTTTTTTTAAATAGTCTTTCCTTAATAAAGTTGTCTAGTTTACAAAACCTGCTCAGGAGCCTTCACTTTGAAGTTCCGACGGCCCGGGAGAGAATGAGTGTGTGAACCTTTCACAGCTGTGGGAATTTCGGCTTATTTTAATAGCTTGTTTAAGGTTCACCAGGTAGTAGGGGACAGTTGCTCCTGTTGTCATTGCTTGTCGCTGTCAGTTCGTTAGGCTACAGTGAAGCTGGTTGCCATTGGAGACCACTTTTGGAAAGACTATAAATGAAACTCCTGAAGATTGACAGTCACTCAGGTTCATCTTGTAAGCGTACATCTCTGTAGATTTCACATCCTTTTAGTGAATATTCGGTGTTTGTCTCCCTATTCGTCCGTTTACTTACACGAGTGTTTTATTCATGTGTATGGACGGCCATAAGCTGCCGTGTGGGTGCTGGGGCGCAGACACCCCCCCCCCCCCCGCCCTGTGAGAGCAAGTGCTCTTAACTGCTGCTCCACCTCTCTTGCTCCTTAAGTTTTAATTAATATAGTAAGCCTTGAGTATATTACTTGCTTTGTACCGGCATGTTATACGAAATCCTGATTCTTATCACCTGGGCACTTAGTACTTGCATAGACTTACGGTATGACCATAGTTATTAGTACTCAGAGATTGAGAAACTGAGTGTCTCTGGTGTCATGTAGTGCTTAAGGATACCTTTTTAAATATCGGGATAAAATAGAAGTGATTTTTAAAATTTATTTTTGATATCGTACTCAAAGTAACTAATACCGAGGAGTCACTGTGTACTTCCCCTTAGTAAACACTGTATCTTGCCTCTCAATTCTGTCTACATGTTCAGGAAGATAGAAACCTGCCATTGTTCTGGTGAAGAAGGAACTAAGGTTTAGCTTGACTAACTTTGCCAGGTTCACTCAGGTAGAAAACGGCAAGAGAAAGATTCACACTCACGTGAGATGTCATACTTAGACATTTATCACCTGTTCTGCAGTGAGATTTCATTTATGTAGGATGAATCAGTAGTATAAGTTAGCAAGACCTTACTTTTCAGCTGTTCTGTGTAACTACTATTCGTGAAAGTTAATTTTGATATTTTATTTATTTATTTGTATGTATGTGGCGGTCAGAGGACAACCCATGGGAGTCAATGTTCTCCTTCCACCAAGTGGGTTCCAGGAGTTGAACATCAGGTCACTTCAGCTGATGAGCCATCTCTCCAGGCACATGAAAGTGAAATTAGTAGTTCTCATGTCCACTTTTGTAAAGTTTCAAGTTGGAAATCTTTTTGAAATGTTGACAATTTAAATTTGATTTGAAATAGCTGGTGAGTAGTTTATGACAAAGTGAAGGTGGCAGAAGCTTGTGGACAGCTGTTTACCTGCTTAGTTACTGCAGGGGATTTATTTTAAAAGGATTTATTTTTGGTTAAAGATTTATTATTTATTATTATGGGTGTTTTGACTGCATGCATGTATATGTGTGTACACCACATGTATGCTGTGCCATAGAGGCCAGAGGGCATTGGATCCCCTGGAACTGGAGTTTTGAATATCTGTAAGCTTCCCTGTGGGTACTGAGAACTGAACCCAGGTCCTCTGCCAGAAGAGGCAGTTTATTGTTTTTTTGTGTTTGGAAAGTATGACTTACCAGAGAGCAAATTAATTTTTTTACTACTTTTATTATTCATTTACTTATTTAGAGTGCGCACGTGCGCCTGTGTGTGTGTTCCCATTTCATGGTGCAATTAATGGCGGTTAGAGGACAGTTTGTGGGAGTTGATTCTCTTCTTTCAGTCTCTCCTTCATCCATGTGTGTCCTGTGCACCAAACTCAGGTTGTTAGCTTTAGTAACAGGCACCTTTACCTGGTGAGCCAGCTCCATGACTTCACAAATTGATAGTTTATTTTTTATTTATTTATTTTCAAGGTAGGGTTTATCTGTAACTTTGGGGCCTGTCCTGGAACTAGTACTTGTAGACCAGGCTTGCTTCGAACTCAAAGATATCCTCCTGCCTCCGCCTCCTGAGTACTGGGATTAAATGTGTGCACCACCACCGCCTGGCACAAATTGATTATTTAAATATCTGTTAGTAAGAGTGCATACTATATGGATGGAGAGAGGGCTCAGTCATGAAGAGTGCATACAGGGCTGGAGAGATTTAAGGTCACTAGCTGCTCTTCCTGAGGACTTGAGATCTAGTCCCAGCACCCACATGTTAGCTCACAACTGTTTGTAACTTCAGTTCCAGAGAATTCATTGCTCTTTTCTGACCTCCAAGGGTACCAGGTATGCATTTGGTGAGCAGGCAAAATACCTATACAAATTAAGAAAAAAAATTTTAAAGTTTGTTCATTTTTATTCTTTCATATTCTTTTAGAGGACCCTAGTTTACTTCCCAGCCCCCTTGTCAGGTGTCTCACAAGTGCCTCTAATGCCAGATTCAAGGGAGCCAACATACTCTCCTGGCCTCCAAGGGCAAACCTCCCCAACCCCCCGCCCCTTGTATACCAACATACATAACAGATACACATACACATGAAGAAAAGAATAACTCTTTTTTAAAAATCTGTTAATACTATCTCCTATTTAAGGAAATGCTAATTTTTAAAAAAACATTCTATGAAAAATGATTGTGGTGGGTAAATGATCCACCACAGAAACTGGATGTTACTCTTAACAATGGCATGTCGTGTTCTTCTGATAGACCATCTACAATGCTGTAATGTCCGGAATATTTGTATTTGCAGTAAATTGTTTATAATTTCTTCCTGTTCATAGTAAATGATCCCCCCTCCCCCCCCTTTTTTTTTGAGACAGGGTTTCTCTGTGTAGCCCTGGCTGTCCTGACTAGCTGTGTTGGTCAGGCTGGTCTCGAACTCACAGAGTTCTGCCTGCCTCTGCCTTCCAAATGCTCAGATTAGAGGTGCATGCCACAACCGCCTGGCATAATTACCAGATTTTAAAGATTGCTAAAGGATTAAGTATATTGAATTATATTTTTGTCAAATCAGCAAGTTTTCAGTTCATTCATGTATTTGGCAGGTGACTCATTATCTGTATATAATTTGCAGGAGTACAGGTGTGTTACATAAACTACTGGCATCACTTCTTTAAACTTCAGAGCCAGAGGAGAATTTAGCCATCTGTCCTCTTCCTTTTATGGGTCAGGAGTCTAATCCTGCAATGCACTGAGATTTTTAAATTTCAGAAAACCATTTTTTTCTTTTTCTTTTTTTTTGTTTTTTTTTTGGGGGGGGGGTTGAGACAGGGTTTCTCTGTGGCTTTGGAGCCTGTCCTGGAACTAGCTCTGTAGACCAGGCTGGTCTCGAACTCACAGAGATCCGCCTGCCTCTGCCTCCCGAGTGCTGGGATTAAAGGCGTGCGCCACCATCGCCCGGCCAGAAAACCATTTCTATATTGTGCTCAAAGATACATTTTTTTCCTTAAAGGAAAAGTGCTACAGTGTTGGAATAGATGTTGTAATTAAGAACTCATTTCTGAAGCTCTCATAAAAATATTAAGTATTTTGCTACAGACGAATGCTATAATTTCAGCCCGATGATGCATTTTGTTTTCCATTTTGCTAAATAACTACTAGTGGACATAGCACACATTTATTTATCTTTTTGTGGGAAACTAAAAGTTTTGTTTTGTGCTTTATGATGAAAAAATATTTGTTTTTCTATGTGTGTATTTATTTGGATCTCTATAGCCCTAGCTGCCCTAGAACTCACTATGTAGACCAGGCTGTGTAGCATAATTAATACAAACCCAGAGCCAGATATTGGGGTTCCATCTGAAGGTCAGAAAAACAAAACAGCCAGCCACTGACTCTTACCTCTACCTCAGTCTGAAATGGTGATTCTGCCTCCAAATATCCTCAGAATGAGATTGTCTTCTCCCTTCATATATTCCT